GCTGGACATAGGAATTCAAACCCCAGCACACACAGACACAGTACATCTCCAGCACACACAGACACACTACGTCCCCAGCACATACACAAGCACACTACATCCCCAGCACCCAAAGACACAATACATCCCTAGCATGCACACACACACACACACACCACATCCCCAGCACCCACAGACACACCACATCCCCAGCACACAAAGACACAATACATCCGTAGCACACACACACTACATCCCTAGCGCACACACACACCACATCCCCAGCACCCACAGACACACTACATCACCAGCATATACACTACATCCCCAGCACACACTGCATCCCCAGTGCGCACACACACAGACTCCCTGCATCCCCAGTGCGCACATACACAGACTCCCTGCATCCCCAGTGTGCGCACACACAGACTTCCTGCATCCCCAGTGCGTGCGCGCACACACACACTGCATCCCCAGTGAGCACACACACACAGACACACTGCATCCCCAGTGCACCCCCAGTGCGCACACAGACGCACTGCATCCCCAATGCGCGCACACACACAGACACACTGCATCCCCAATGCGCGCACACACACAGACACACTGCATCCCCAGTGCACACACACAGACACACTGCATCCCCAGTGCGCACACACACACAGACACACTGCATCCCCAGTGCGCACACAGACACACTGCATCCCCAGTGCGCACACAGACACACTGCATCCCCAGTGCACACACACAGACACACTGCACCCCTAGCACATGCACACTAAATCCCCAGCATACACACACAGACATGCTACATCCCAAGCACAGACAAACACTACATCCTTAGGATACACACACTACATCCCAAGCACACATATACACACACACACACACACTACATCCCTAGCACACATACACTCACCCACACTACATCCCTAGCACACACACACACACACACACACTACCACTCACCACGATCACGTTAGACAAGTTCTGCAGACCTGGTTAAAGAATCAACTTTATTGTAAATTAGAAAAATGCATCTTTGACCAATCTGAAGTACATTTTTTGGGATATAATATCTCTGCCTCAGGGTTTCAGATGGATCCTAAAAAGCTGGAATCAGTTCTACAATGGCCTTTACCCCCTGGGTTGAAAGCCATTCAAAGGTTCATTGGTTTTGCCAATTATTACAGAAGGTTTATAAAGGGATTTTCTTCAGTAATAGACCCCATCACCAATATGACACTGTGGCAAACCTAGCCACTTGTAGGATGCTGGACTATATGTATCAAAAGGTTGTCTGTAATAACCGCTGTAAAATATGTGTAACCTGGGTCTATACTGTTTTTTTGCATAGAAAGCCGCTAGCATTCATGTATTTTGTTTCACGAACAGCGACTTTACTGGCTGTTCGTGAACCGAATGAGCTACCCCCTAATAGCCCACACATAGAGGGACGTGTGGCACCCATTAACCGATTGCGCGGAGCCGAAATCGGCTACTTGGCAGTACGAACGCCGCTGGACTTCAAGGCCGTTCGGGAGCTCCGGTCTTTCACTATTGTGGTTCCCCATCGGTGTTCGGTACTTTTAGGTGAACTCAATGGCAAAGTGTATTTCATGCGGCGTTCGGTTGTTTTAGCTGGGATCTGAGCGGTCTTCTCATGAAATGTGCACTCAGACCCCAGCTATCTACCAAACGTCCATTCGTTGAAATAACCTGAATATTATGAAAGTTATGGATTTAAATGTAAAATGCCGGTTCTGCTGCACGGAGGGATAATCCACTTAACTATATATACCAGTGGGAGTATCCCTCTCGTCCAGCAGTGCCTGATGGGAGAAATGCTCAGAATGTTAAGTCCCCCATGTAGTCCCCTACTGTATTACCCCTGCTATGTCAGTAGGGAAACCCCTTACATGAGGACTTGCATAAATACTGGAGCTGTGAATAAAAACCTCAGTTAACTCCCAGAATTGTGTTTCGTCCGGTTCCTGGGGGATTTGGGATATTGCCTTACTTTTCAGCGCTTGACTGTGGATTACCTTCTGTACCAGCGGAGATCGTGGAATTTAATATTGCAGCTCCGCTACAGACACGCAAGGGGGTTAGCAGTACGATATGGTCTAAGGAGGCCATAGAAGCCTTTGAAACTCTCAAACAGCGGTTTGCCTCCGCCGACATATTGATACATCCTGACACCAGTAAACCTTTCATACTGGAAGTTGATGCATCAGAGACAGGAGATGGGGCAGTTCTCTCCAAGAGGGAGAGCCAGAATACTCCGTTGCATCCTTGTGGTTACTTCTCTATAAAGTTGTCTCCTGCCAAGCACAATTATGATATTGGCAATAGGGAATTGTTGGCCATTATTCTAGCTCTCAAGGAGTGGCAACATCTGTTAGAGGGTTCCAAGGACCCCCTTTTGATCATTACT